GGATGCAAATCTCACTAATAATTTTAGGTGAAAATTAATGAAATTCCCACTCAGGCAGTATGCAGCAGAAAGAAAACTAAATTCAATAGTAAAAATCCAAAAGTCCCGGTCATTCTAACTACCTGTATGACCTTCAACAAAGGCATTTAGTTTCTCTGGGCCTTGGTGTCTTTCATCTATAAAATATTGTACAAGATTATCTCTGAGATCACTTTTAGTCTTTAGTATATATGATTATCAATTTTTAGTAAAATTCAAATATTCATTTTAGAAATTCTAGATAAGCAGCTAACATTCTGTAATAGAATAGGTTCAGTTTATTAATACAACTGTTAAAGATGTTCAACTTCTTTAAGCAGATAATTGATATTTGGTTCATATTCTTACCAATGTATATAATTTTCACCAGATGAAACCGAATTTATATTTAGATTTGTATCTAACTAGATTACCTGAGCACTTTCAGACTATGTATTTGGGCTGATGGACCTATTCCCCATACTGTTTCCCATTTCTTTTCTCCATATCATCTGTTGGCTAATATTATTCAGAGGTATCCCTAGGTCTTCCATACTTAATACATCTCCACTTACATCTTTGGTTCTCTGAGGCCAAAACGTCAATAAATGAGAAGTAAAGCAACTATATTTATCTATGTTTACTACTCATCTAAAATTATATAACTCTAGGTCACCTTCAGTAGTAAATGAGGCTGAAGAGTTAATAATGTTGATAAAAATGCCATTGAGTCCTTTCTTCAACATACGTTTATTGAGCACCTAGCATGGCAAACACTGTGCTGCGTACTGAGGATACAGAGTTAAATGAGACATGTTTGCTTCCATGAAGGAGCTCACAGTTTAGTGGGAGGAGAAACATTAGAGCACACGTTACGTAATAAGTGCAGTAAGTGACCTGAACGTGGTTTTATAGAAACACAGGGGTACCTAACATAATCTAGAGAAATTAGGAGACTACCTAGAGAAAATAATGCCCTCATTGACTTTTGATTGAAGATGAGGGTGCGGTTATGGCAGTTCCTGATGAAGTGGGGCACTGTGAACAAAGACCACATATAGAAAAACATGTGTTGTGTGTGTCAAGAATTACAAGGAATCTAGTGTTACTATATGTCATATAGGCGAGGCAGGAGGTGGTAAGAATTGAGGCTACCATTTAGGTCCTCAGGAACAAGAGAAGGAAGTCTTGTGTTCTATGTTTGGGAGCTTGGACTTTAATCTGTAAGCAGTGAGACACCATGAAAAAGTTTAAAGGAAGGAAATGCCTTTTATTGGGGTTTGGTTTCATCCATTTCCTAATATGATTAATCCCACAATTTTTAAAAGATGAAATTGCTTTCATTAGAAGATCATATATAAAGTAATGTGATTCTTTTATGATCTATTTGTATTTTTCTTCTGGACTCACTTTTCTTTCTAAGATCTGATTATTACCAAAAATTACATAGTGACCTAAGTCGTCTAAAAACACATAGATCTACGGTGTTATCAGACCCGTCTCCAGAATTATATGTACATGTACATATGTTGAAATGTTTTGTTTTTATTTTAGATTATTTTAAATTGGCTTAAATTCTATAACTATTTTAGTATTTGTTAGGTCCAAATCATTTAAAATATAGTTTTCAATGTACAGACTGTGCTGTTAATTTGATAAAGCTTCTTTTAATATTTGTCTTAATCTGTGAAGTACAACTACTTCCAAGTTACAGAGAGACATACCAGTTGGTCTACTCATGAGCCCTGTCCTCTTACTCAGGTAAGCTGGTGATATATACACTAGCTCAGCAGGGAGTGGCTCAAGGCCTCCAGCTTATCCTAGTGCTGGTATTCAAACTTCCTGGGCAGTTGGCATTAAAAAACAGATGGTTTCTTATACCAGTGTAACAATAACCTGTTGCAAAGGCCAGGATCTTCTGACCTCAATTGTCTCCTCTCCTCTAAAAATATGCAAAATAGCAGAGAATTGGAGTAACCCATGATGACGATGCATCTAGCCATGCCTGGCCCCAGTATGCCTCTCCTACAGGTTGGGAGGAGTCTTGGTGGGGGCAGGGGTGGGGGAAATGCTCATTTTGCTAGCCCTAAGTCAAGTTTCTTGCTTGTGCCATTTATGGCCCTTGCCCTTGAGCAACAAAAGTAGAACTGTACTAGTGCCTTAGCTAAACTTTCTCAACCTAGATTTTCACTCAAGGCCATATGGGAATATAATTATTAAATTCCTGTGTATCAAGATAGCAAATTTTCTGGAATTTTAAAAAAATCGAAGTTGTATGAAACAAAGATCAAGTAGTACCCAAAAAACCTTTATGAACTTTCACAAAAATAAGTGAAATTCTTTGCTTTTATGACCACATGTCGTTTCTATTATGTAATTGGAAATGTCTTAATTTTCAAACTTCACATATACTTTAAGCAATTTTAATATTTAAACCTTGGCAAACTTGTGCTCTCTTTGAATGTGAAATCCAACTCAGGCAGTAGGACGTTGCAGTAATGATCTGGAACTACATTGTCAATATAGCTACTTATTATTTAAATTAAATAAATGAAACAAATTCATTTCTTCAGTTGCATTAGCCACATTTCAAGTGCCCAGTAGCCACATGTGTTTAATGGCTATGATGTTAGACAGATATAGAAAGAACATTTCCATCATCACAGAAATTTCTTTTGGACAGTGCTAGTCTAGAAGATAACCACAGTTCTTGGTAAAAATTTTGACAGCCTAATGAGGAGAAGTTTATAACCCTGAGCTTTGCATGCCCAAGAACAATAAGGCATCCTTTTTTTATGTATACATCAGACCTAGTCTTCTGACTACAAAATCTTTATGATGTAGATATGGTCAGCAGAGCTGGCTTAAAATTATTCCTTTTTTCCTGTTTTAATTCCTTTACAAAACCAGGTCTGTGTTCTTATAATAAAAATCACACTTATGAGTAAAAATCTTTTAAATCAATTACAATTTGCAGAAATGAGTTTTACTTCTAATGACTGGTATTAGTGTCATAGCATTAACTGGGACCAGAGAACTCATCATTTTATAACTTTCACTATAGATTTAGGAAATTTCAGTGAAGGATTTTTGTTATGGTTATCCCTAGAAATACAGAAAATATTTATTGTATAGATTATACATGGTGATATTTTTTGTTATTGAACATTAGCTTCTATAAAGGCAATATATGTTTGTCCAGAAAAATCTTCCAAAAAGGCATGGGTTGATTAAGACTTAAGAACATGTCATCTCTAGTTCATAAGAAAACTCCCCCTAAGATTTACCTATCCAGTACCATTTTTTTGTAAAAATAATTGTGTGTAAGCATCAAAACTTGTGAAATGCTGGTAATGTGACATAAATCTCTCATTGTTCCTCACTGAGATAGGTTTGCTTATCTGTGTTGATAAATTCTTTAATTTCTCTTGAAGAATTAGCCTAATTTCATGTAATACAGAAGCATCTTAATTAGCACATAAAAGTAAACTTATGCATATGAAAATCTATCAAAAACGTAAATGGATGTTTAATAAATGGATGATCAAAAATGCAGTTGTGTCTTGCTTTGTGTTTTTCAAAAGGAGTGTTACAACTATGTTTCAAATGCATTCTTTATTTTTATGCTCCATTTCTCCAGTGAGCCTTTAAAACACAGAATTTAGTTAATAAGCAATGTTGATTTGTGTTGTATCCATTGTTTTTTCTTGAATTATATCAGCTTCATAGGATGTCTCATTTGTTGAATTTGATGCTGCATTTGAGTTGAGGACTTTGGTTTTTCTATTTGA